TAAGAAGCAAAACAGGATCATCAGGGTAGAAAGGAAAAAATAAAACAAGATGAAATCAGAGGGAGAGACAAACCATAAGAGACTCTTAATCATAGAAAACAAACTGTTGCTGGAGGGGAAAGGGGTAGGGACATGGGGAAACTGGGTGATAGACATTAAGGAGGGCATATGATGTGATTAGCACGGGGTATTATATAAAACTGATGAATACTGACCTCTACCCCTGAAACTAAAAATATAGTGTATGTTAACTGAATTTAAGTTTTTAAAAAGCAAGACAAAAAAATAAAACTGACCCACTGGAAAAAAAATAATAATATGAGAAAAACTTCAAATGATGTAACTGGAATTAAGAATATTAAATAAGATTCTACAGGTTTACTTACCCATATAATGCTTCATTTACCTATTTTAATTAGTTTTAAAATAATTTAATTTTAACAAAGGGAAACAGGAGAATTTCTATAAATGGATAAAATAACTTCTAAGTGTTAGAAAAATAAAAATGACATTTTTCTAAAAAATAAAAAGAAATAAAAAGGAAACTAAAATGAATAAATAACTTACAAAATAGGAGAAAACATTTTAAGCCATGTATCAGATAAGGGGTCAATATCCAAAATCTATAAAGGACTCATACAACTCAGTAACAATAAAACAACTCTGGCATCTACTGAGAACCTAATACATGCCAGGCAGCTGATATTATAATCTTATTTCTTTCTTGGAACAACTCAGTAAAGAAGAAGTTAGCATTTTTTATTTCATAAGTAAGAAAACTAGAGTTCTGAGATGTTAAGAGAATAGTCCAGGGCCATTTGATGAGATGGGAACAGAACCGAGGTGATTCATATTGGGATCTTTGGCTCAAAACACATCAATGTCTCCATGCAGTCCTAAGAAAAGAAAAGAAAGAAGAAAGAAAAGAGAAAATCCCACTAAAAAATAGGCAGAACTAAACAGACGTTTTTCCAAAGAAGACTTCCAATGGTAAACAGGTACACGGAGAAGATGTTGAACATCACTAATCATCAAAGAAGTCTAAACCACGGGGCACCTGGGTGGCTCAGTGGGTTAAGCCTCTGCCTTCGGCTCAGGTCATGATCTCGGGGTCCTGGGATCAAGCCCCACATTGGCCTCTCTGCTCAGTGGGGAGCCTGCTTCCTCCTCTCTCTCTGCCTGCCTCTCTGCCTACTTGTGATCTATCTCTCTCTGTCAAATAAATAAATAAAATCTTAAAAAAAAAAAAAGAAATCTAAACCACAATGAGTTATCACCTCACACCTGTTAAAATGGCTATCATTAAGAAAAATACAGGTAACAAGTGTTGAGGATGTGGAGAAAAAAGGGCACTCTTACGCAGCATTAGTGGGAATGTAAATTGGTACAGCTACTATGGAAAACAGCATGGAGGTCTTTAAAAAATTTAAAAATAGAACTACCATATGGTCCAGCAACTCCACTCTTGGGTATATATCCAAAAGAAATGAAAACAGGATATCAAAGAAATATATGCTCTCCCATGTTTACTGCAGTATCATTTATAACAGCCAAGCTATGTAAACAATTTGTGTTCCTCAACAGGTTAATGGAAAAATAAGAGATGTGATATTCACCCCCCTCAACACATACAGGAATATTGTTAGCCATGATAAAGAAGGAAGTTCTGCCACTTGTAACAAAAGAATGAAACTATTTTTCATTTTCATTTTTAAACATTTTTTAAAAGATTTTATTTATTTATTCATCTGACACAGAGGGAGAGAGCATGAGCCACGGGGAGAGGCAAAGGGAGAAGCAGACTCCCCACTGAGCAGGGAGCCCAATTGGGGCTTGACTCAGGAACCCGGTGATCATGACCTGAGCCAAAGGCAGATGTTTAACTGACTGAGCCACACAGGCGCCCCGATAGGAAACTTGGTGGCATTTTGTGAAATCAATTAGGCAGAGAAAGACATATGCTGTATGATCTCACTTACATGTGGAATCTAAAAATGCCAAACTAGTGAGAATAGAGAGAGTAAGAAAGAGGTTATGAGGGTCTAGGGGGTGGATGAGTTGAGGAGATGTTTAAAGATACAAACATAAAATCGGTAAATAAATAAATCCAGGACATCTAATTGAAATTAGTGATTTCACTGATTAGACAATACTGTATTATAAACTTTAATATTGCTGAGAGACTAGATCTTAATTGTTCCTACCACAAAAAAAAAGAATTGTAAAATGTGACATAATAAACGTGTTAGCTAATGTTTCAGTGGCAATTATATTGTAATATATAAATGTATCAAACTGACACATCGTACACCTTAAATTTACACAATGCTCTTATGCTTCTTCCATTGCCATGAGTAAGACATGTCTAAGCTAGTCTATTGGTCCCAGGAGAAGATGAGCATACAGAGCAGAGCTCAGTCACCCTAACCAAGGCCAGGCTAAATCAACCAGTCTCCAGCTACCCACTAGACATAATGAATGAGTCTGGTCTCACTGAGATTAGCAGAACTGCCCAGCTGAGCAAATCGGGATCACCTAAATTCCTCACACACAGAAAGATAATTTATAATTTTAAGCCACTGAGTTTTAGAATGGCTTGTTACTCAACAGAATTGAAATAATTCATTGTTATTCTTTTATCTGTTTTTGAAATCTGTCAGCTACTACCTTGTCAAAAATTTTTAAATTGATGTTTATAAGTGAGTTTTTTTTATGTCAGACTAGACTATTTTTTCCATCATCAAGTCTTTTTAATGACAATCTCTTCCAATTCTTTTTTTTTATTATTATGTTGTTAGCCAGAAAAAAGTGAGATTTTTTATAAAGGTCTATATTACATAAACTCATTTGGATTTGGATATCATTTAATAAAAAGAATATTTCTTATCTATACTTTGAAAATGTTTAAGTAGCATTGGAATCATCAACTTATTAAAGGTTTTTATTGGGAGGGGCATCTGGGTGGTTCAGTCGGTTAAGCATCCAACTCTTGGCTTTGGCTCAGGTCATGATCTCAGGTGTGGGATGGATCCCCATGGTGGCCTCCACGCTGGGTGGGGAGCTGGCTTAAGATTCTCTCTCTCCCTCTCCCCTAATCCCCCTTAAAAAAAAAAAGTTTTTTTGGGATTCTTCTGTGAAAACATACAGATATAGTGCTTTTCTTGGGAGGTGACAGGAACACTTTTATAATTTTTTCTATTTTTTAAAAAAGATTTTATTTATTTATTTGACAGAGACACAGTGAAAGAAAGAACACAAGCAGGGGGAGTGGGAAAGGGAGAAGCAGGCCCTCCACAGAGCAGGGAGCCCAATGTAGGGCTCGACCCCAGGACCCCGGGATCATGACCTGAGCGGAAGGCAGACCCCCAACAACTGAGCCACCCAGGCCCTTTTTTTTTTTTTAAAGATTCATTTTTTTAATTTGAGAGAGAGAGAGAGAGAGATCAAGCACATGAGTGGAAGGGGCAGAGGGAAAGGGAGAGAGAATCTCAAGCTGATTTTGTCCTGAGCGCAGAGCCTGCAGCAGGGCCTGATCTCAAAGATCCTGAGATCATGACCCCAGTAGAAATCAAGAGTCGTTCACTTAACCAACACCACCACCCAGGGACCCCTAATTCTGCTTGGGACAGTTTGGGTAAAAATTCTATTTTCCTAGAAAATTAGTTATTTCAACTAGATGTTTATACATCTGTAAACTAGATGTTTATATTCATTTGCATAGGGTTATACAAATTAATTTTGAAATTTAAAGCAAATATTTTAAAAAATTTCCCATTTGGATGTTTATTTCTCCTTTGCAATATCTAATATTCTGTATTTGTGCAGTCTCCTTCTTAAATAAGAGGTTAACTTTGTGATTTGCTTATTTAGATAAACTTTTTAATTCATTTGTTGTATTTATTTCCTGTTTTCTACATGTGATGGAAATATCCTAAGGTATGGGTTATACCCAATGAGTCACCCCTTGAATGTGGGCAGAACTTATGACTTGCTTCTAACCAACAGAATGTAGCAAAGGTGATGGAATATCAAGCATATTATTATGTTACATTATATAAGACTGGATGTTAGCAAACAGGAGAGAGACTCTCCCACTGGCCTTGAAGAAGCAGTGATGTAAATTGACTATGGGGATAGCCACGTGGTGGGGAACTATGGCCCTTTGGAGCTGAAAGAGGCCTTAGCCAACAGCCTGAAAGAAAATAGGAAACTCAGTTATGCCATTACGGAGATGAAATCCACCAACAGGCCAAGAGAGTTTAGAAGTGAATTCTTCCTAAATTAAGTTTTCAAATGAGAACATGGCTCTTGGTCTACCCCTTGACTGCAGCCTTTGTGAGATTCTGAGCGGAGGACCCATCTAAGCTCTGTCTAGACTTCCAACCTATAGAAACTGTGAGATAATATGTGGCAGCCATAAAAAGCAACACGGCCATATGGAATGAATACACTACCTCTGAGTTTCTGCTTTTACTTTTTGCTAGCTCTTACCTTTTTTCTGCTTACTTTGTTTGTGGTCTGCTATTTTGAATTGAGTGTTTAATTAACTTATTATTTTTTAAATTTTTGTGTATTTAATTCTATGACTTTTCCACTGATAAATGCTATAGCTGTATTTCATAGGTTTTGATATGTAATGTTTTCTGTTAAGAAATTCTGCATTTTTTTTTTTTTTTTTTGGTCCTGGATTTTCCTATTAAGAGCTCCTTGATAACATCTTTCTATATTTCCAGATGGTGGCATCTTTTTGGTCTTATTTTTAACTTCTACTTTATTGCATGTGGTAAGTGAATATTGCTTATATTATTTCTATTTCCTGGAATTTATCGAGTATTTCTTTGAGGGCTTGCAAAGATTTCCCAAATTTAGGTATCTGGAAAACCTCATCAGACTTCACAGAACACACTTATTCTCTAGGAACATACTTATAGTGCATACTGAATATAGCTTTTATTTAAAGACTGAGGATACAGTGCAGCAAAAGAAGAAGAATACAGACAAAAATTAGGAAATCCAAGAGACATTCCATGCACAAGCTCCCAGGAGTCCTCATTTACATACAGACTGCTCTCTGTCACGGGATTACACAACCACAATCTGTGTCAGGAATCTCAGCATCAGGGCTATTTTAAACAGAAGTTCTTAATGAGGGTGCATGTGGTTGGTGGGGAGGATGGCATTATATCTGTAACCATGTGATCAAGCCAGGCTGGAAAACAGTTTATTTAGATCAGTAAATAAAATGATGCTGGGAGTCACCAGGGGAGTTTCAGACTTTAAAGAGCACATCATAAAGGTTTTTATCCTGGCCAAAATTCCAAACATGTACTGAGGAAAATATGAACCTTCTACAGGTCAGATGTAAATCAACTCTATCCTCCACAGGGCAAATATACGTGACCAATCTTTGTGAATGTTCCGTGTGCATTTGAAAAGCCAAGTTCTCTATTATCTGGGTTCAGGATTAGATATAGTTTTATAAGATTTACCTTAATAATCATGTTGTATATGTCTTCAATCCCCTTGCTAATTATTTACGCACATGACTGATGATTAGCATGCATTTCTTTTTTTCATCGTACCTCCTACAATTTCTATAGGAGAGTTGTTAAGAAAAGTCATTGCTCTGGTATTGGCTGCCTGTTTTAATAATTTATATCTTTATGGTACATTACTGACTTTAATAATATAAAGTATATTATCTCTTTTGATGATTTTGAGCCCATAAATAGGCTCATACTCAATATGGGTTTTTAATATGTATTTTCCTATTCATTTATATTTACACATTCCGAATTGTTTTGACTCGGTCATATTTCTAAATCATCATAAGAGTTAGATTTTGCTCTGTTTACTAAACTAAAATCTTTTTAATTTGGCTGATATGTTAAGTCAATGCTGTTATATTGTTTTATGGTGTTTGTAAATTTGTGTGTATAATTTTCTACTTTATGTTCTATTTCCTTTTATACTATCTTTTTCTTTTCTTTTTTTCCCCTTAAGTTTATTTATTTAAGTAATCTCTACACCCAACATGGGGTTTGAACTCACAATCCTGAGATCAAGAATCCCATGCTCTTCAGACTGAGCCACTCCGGTGCCCCTATACTCTTGGTCTATTTTAGGGGAAGGGGAAAGTATTATTTAAGATGTGCATTCCTATATGGTTTAAAATCTTAAGCATGTGTTTATCTTCTATCTTTTATCACATCAGTCATGTTATCTATCCCTCTTCCAAATACCACTGTAGTATCTAAATTTATGTTGCCGTTATTACACATGTCCTTATGATTGCAGCAAATTGTTTCTTTCAGTAAGTCATGGTATACTTGAACCATTCCCTCTTCACAAGGTTTACACGACAGTTCCGAATAACGATACAGAGCTCTCCCTAAGGAGAGAAAAAAAGCAAATGTGATCACCTTGTTTAATCACACCATCTTCTTAGCAATGACATCTCAGAACCTCACTGGTTTTCTGTGGACAGGAATGAGCCCCCAAAGCTGTGCCTACATTTCATCATCTCTCTAGACAGGACCAGACAAAAGACATCTGCCTCCCACTCAGGCTCCACACCAAGTAGTTTATGAGAATTCCACTTTCCCCAGCCTCTCCCATGGTCTCAGTTAAGCCTCCACACCTTGACATCAGGGAAGGTGGGGACCACTGGTACAGTTTTGTGTCTCTCTATAACCTGCACTTACCAGTAATTCGATCATCGTAGTAGTAGTGATCTATGGTACAACTCCTTCTGTAAATTGTTAGATTGACTTTCCAGCACTTTTTCAAGCCAGTGAGGCATCTGTATCCATCAAAGCGGGCACATTGATAGCAAAATCGAACCACTAAATAAAGAGAGGAAATTTTAAAGCAGAGTTCTAGGTTAAGTAATTCAGCTTCAGAAGCCTATCCCACTATCAAGTTACACTGGCAAGGTGTAGACCTCACAAGAAGGAAGCTGACAACCTTCCCAGCTCCTGCCTGGGGTCCTCACTCCCTTGAGTGGGTGACAGCTATGACCCCAGGGATTCAAGCCTCCTCCCTCCTTTGCCCAAGGCCGGGGACAGAAAAAAGACACTAGAGCAGTGAGTGAGGAGAGTGGAATATTTCAGGGAGGGTAGAGAGACAATGTTTGAAAAAATCAGGAGTATCCCCTCTCATTGCAGCATTATTTATCCAAAAACTGCAAACCAACTACACCATACATCTTGATGTCAGGACTCGGTTTCCTATGAAGAGAAGAAGAAATCTCCTTAAGCCATTGTACAGCAGCCCAAAAAGTTAAGGTTAGAAACGACCTTCCTCTTCTTCCCACATAGTCTCTCGCCACCCATCTCTGCCTCCCTCACCAGGCTTTACCTTCATCCATGAAGAGCACTGTGAATGTGCCCAGCAGAAGCAACTGGAACATCCTGGGACCCATTCCAGGGATGATCCTGGAGGGAGGCTCCAGCTCTATTTATTCGCATCACCTGCCCTCAGGCATCCCACTAGATCACAGAATCATAAATTTCAGATCAAGCCGCCTGAATCCTCTCTACAATGTTCCCAGGAGAGGGTACATCCTGTCTGCATTTGCATGCCTCTAGATATTCAGAACTCAGCCATCCAGACACCCCCTTTCATTTTATTAGATCCAGCATGAGGTACTCATTAACGCTGGTGGAGAATCTCTCTCGCTAGTACCTCTTCACTTCCCCTGTAGTTCTGGATGTTGGTCTGCAAAGAGCGTGACTAACCCCATGTCCGCAAGACAGCCTTTCCCATATGACAGAGCTGGAATCACTGAGCATCTGTGATGGAGCTGCTCAGGCCCTTTCAGGTAGAAGCATCCTGGACACTGGCCTCAGGGCGACCTCCAGCGGTACTACCCCCCCACCCCGCCAAAGTGGGTCATCAGGACCAGAGCCTGGGACTATAGATGTGGTCCACCTGCCCAGCATAGCACGCCTCTGAGAGACGGATGGGGCAGTTCAAGAAGTGGTGAAGAGGTTTAGATCTGTGTCCCTTGAGCTTTATTCATTAATTTGTCCAAAGGAGACAAAGACCAGAAATGATTACAGTGGGAGAGACTTACACGGAGGGTGACGGGGAGAGAGGAAGACATATTTGGATGAGTCACTAGAAATGGATTGTGAGGGAAGGAAAGGAGCAGGGAGGCCTGGAAAGGGGTTTTCCCATCAGTTCTCTGTCTTTGCCTCCCTTCCTGCAGATCGCGCCCACAGGTGTCCCTCCCTCTTTCATCCACGAAGTGTCAGTTGATTAGTGAGGCTCGCCAGCGCACTCCCGGCAAACACGAACTATCTGTATGTATGCACAAAGCTCCCTGACCGCGCTCGCCCTGTCCCTTTCCTGTTTTCTCCCACGTGTTTGGCCCAGTTTGTCATTTGATGGCTTTTCCTTATTTATGTTTCTTGTCTCTTGCCCTCTCAAGGACGAAAGTGCCATGAATGCAAGATTTTCCTGTGTCATGTCCACTGCTCTCTCCTCAGCACCTAGAAGGATGCCTTGCACCTCTCAGATAATCAAACTATCTGATGAAAACACGAGTGCACTGTTGTCATTGTTAACCTGAGAGGCACAAGGGAACGGTCCCGCCATACGGACAGCCCCTAATTCCCAGATCGCAGGATGACAGTCCTTGTCTACCTTGCGGTTGGTGGTCACCACACAGAAGACAGGCATGGGTAATGGCAGCTTCCTGTCTTGGGGGAAGAGTGAGTGTGGGGCCCATTTATCTTGACTGGGCTCCTTCCCAGAACCAGAAGCAGGCTACCCCAAGTGTGATTCCCCGCATAATCTTCCCTCTGCATCTGGGATGGAAGGCGAAGTGTGCTACCTACCGGCCATGGGATCTTCAACAAGTTTCTCCCTTCTCTGTGCCTCTGGGACCTCACAGGTAGAAACAACGACTGCCAGAGCTACATCAGATGGAGGTGTTGGAACTTAAGAAATTCACATATGGAGCGGCGCCTGGGGGCTCAGTCGGTTAGGTGTCTGCCTTCGGCTCAGGTAAAGGTCTCGTGGTCCTGGGACTGAGTCCTGAGTAGGGCTCTTGCTTGCCAAGGGAGTCTGCTTGTCCCTCTCCCTCTGGCCCTCCCCACCAACACATGCTCTCTCTCTCATAAAGAAATAAAATCTAAAAAAGAAATAAAAATTCATGTGTGGATAATGGTCAGGAAGACCCTACTTGGTGTCAAACCTTCTTCGGGCATGTTATGCACTTGATTTCTTTGGATTTTCTGAACAAGCACGTAGGTTAGAAAGAATGGACCTCTTCTTCCAGTTGAAGCCCAAGGGCACATGGAGTGGAAGTATTTTTCCCCTGGGAACAAGGTGTTTACCTGTTGGACTGGGTGGGCCGATATCTTCCCATTTTACCATGCTGTTTCCTTCTTTTTACAATCTGGAGAAGGTTCCCAGGACTGGAGATGACTGTGGGGAGAGACGAAGGGAGAACAGGTAAGAAAAAGCCTTTCTCCATTAAAAAAATAAAATAATAAAATTAAAATAAAAAAAGAATCTCTCTCTGCCTGGCAGAGAAAACATTCACAAATGAACTCCCACTAAAAATAGGGTGTCCCACAAGCCTGGTTGGGATCTAAGACTTATGAGCCACTGTCCAAGTAATTCCCATAGGGACCACATTCGTGAGTCTTGCATTTGGACCATGTGAGACACAGGCACCAATCCATGCACAGAAGTTCAGAGGGTCTGAGTTGGGAAACCAAGCTTCTGCTTGGAAGCAAAGGACCCCGTGTTCTGGCTGGAAGGATGTTCCTGCACCAGGATCTGGGCAACCAGGGATTAAAATCGGCACTGAATCCCAAAGTTTGTGCAATGTATCTCTCTCCTGTGTTCATCAGGCAACTTTGGACAACATTCTACATGGAAGAAAAGGAACAGAAATTGTGGAAATATGCCAAACTCCTAAGAAGTACCTAAAACTCCCTTTGTGCTTCCAAATCTGAGGAAAACTGTGGAACGGTGCCATAGCTCCATGCAAGAATTCTTCTGTGCATGTACCACAGGTTCACGTTCATAACAACTGTCATGCTTGACGTGGTATGTGTGAGGCTGTGATTTGTTGTTGTGGGAAGGGCACCTTTGTCATCGAACCTGTCTTCCCCTCCTAGAAAGAGAGGCCCAGAGATGGCGGGAGATTCAGGAGCTGGGCTCCTGGTCAATCCCTTTTAAAAGGTGAACACCCGAGTCTGCCTTCCAGACTGCGCCAGAAGCTTTGGCCACTGCTTAGCCCCTCAATCCCTCACCTGAGGATCTCAGTGTGGGCCCCAGACTGACCTTGGACACCTGTGGCCACCTGTCCCTCCCACAGATAGAGACGATGTGCCCTGTAGCCAGTCTTTTCCTCCCCGCTCCTTGTCTGAACCCCTGGAAGCAGGTTGCCGTCCCTCCCCCGTCTCGGGGCTGAGAATCTGCACCTTCTCCCCTCCTCTCCTGGCTCCTATTCAAAGCCTTTCCACTCTGCTGCCCCTTCCTCCATGGGAGGTTGTAGGACATGCTGTCCTGCTCCTGCCCTGCCCAGAGGCTCACTCTGAACCCATGCCCTATATCTGCAGATGGAGGAGAACCACATTCGGCTCCTTTGTAGTCAGTCCCAGGGTGGGTTCCCCTTGCCCCTATAGGAGGACTGTGAAAGGGTAGGGGATGCAGGGAAAAAGAAAATAAAAACAGAAGCCACCTCTGCCCCACCCAAACCCAAAGAATGTTCCCTGCATTCCACAATAACTCTTCACTACTTCTGCCAACCTCCAACAAGCACTTCTCCTAGCCCTGCTCAGTAGGGAGCCCACCTGAGAGTGGGATCATCTGGTCCCAGGGGAGTCCGGGAGAAGAGGGAGACTTGCTGTATTACAGGGCTCCCGTCGAGCTCCCACACTGGCAGGAAGAAGGAAGTGTGAGATGGATATCCAGTCCCATTTCTTCTCTGTGACCACTTCTTCCGCATGTGACAGCAAACCTGCCTCACTCGCAGGTCTGCTGGGGACATGGGGTCTGGCTGACTAGCTCTCCTGGCCTGCAGTCCCCCGAGGCCTGCCTCAGACCCACGCTCCCTCTAGCCACTGGACCCAGCCCACAGCACTGCCCTGCAGGCCTGGGTCTCACCCCAGAATCCTCTGGCCCCCTCCCCCATACTCAACTCAAATCAGCCTCCTGACCTAGCCTCCCTTCTCCGCTTTAACTGTCATCCAGACTTTCTAGCTATAGCAGCCTGGAAGGTACCATTTTCTGAAACGGGTCAATGTGTTGGGCATAGAAGCCACAGAGCCCCATGTCTTCCTTTTATGCTTAAGAGATGGGACTGAACTGAAATTCTGTCACAACGTCAAGGCAGAGAGAGATCCTGATCCGGGTCCCCTCAGCTGTCAGGTCATGTGTGACCGGCGACAGAAGCAAGGAACAGGAATTAGGGGTCAGACATGAACTCTGAGTCACCCCTTCTCGTTGGTTCAGCTCTTACCATGCACACCGCTTAGGACCTTAATTCACCTAACATAGTTGACAGGGGATCGATTGTGGAGAGGCCATGAGTAACGATGGGCTTTTTCACCAGGACACCCCCTAAAGCTTTCTGCGTGACCCCCTTTCTTGAGGCTCATTTTAGATGGAATCAGCAGGATCTCAGTCACCAAGGCAGGGAGGGCTTTGCCTTGAGACCATTCCCTGTTCCACTGCCCCAGCCTCCTACCGCCTTCCAGCCCGTTGCTCTGGTCGTTGCCCAGCACACTTCGGACTGATGAGTACAGGATAGGAGGCTCCGATCAGCCACCCCCGAACAGCCGTTCTCGACCGATTTCCAGGACTTCGGACCAAAAATTGTCCCTGTTATTACAAACAACATGTTCTGCCCTAGGACACAGAGACCATTTAAGAATCAAAACTGTTCACTCACTCTGGACAGCCAAGTTCTATAAATCTAAAGCAGCTGCTTTGGAAGCTTTTGGTTGCATAAAAAAGTCTGGATGGTCTGATAACCGCCGAGTCACAAATGTTTATGTAACTGCAAGAGTTGCTCCCACTTCTATTTTTCAGATTTGTGAGGTGAGCATAACAAATCCAGCTTGCTGTCTCCCTTCTTTGAAAGAGAATATTAAGAACATCCAGTCTTAAAATGTGGTTAAAAAAATATCAGTTTCAGAATTTCAGCCAGGTCTTTTTTGCAGCCATGGGTTGGCAATCGATCACCAGGGACTCTGTTGCTTGAAAAAGATAGGATCCACTGAGCAGAGAGCCTACTTCTCCCTCTCCCTCTGCCCTTCCGGCCCACTTGTGCTCTCACTCTCTGAAATAAATAAATACATATTTTTTAAGATTTTATTTATTTATTTGACAGAGATCACAAGTAGGCAGAGGCAGGTGGGGGTGGGGGCGTGGGGGTCGGGGAAGCAGGCTCCCTGCTGAGCAGAGCAGGTCCCTGGGATCATGACCTGAGCCGAAGGCAGAGGCTTTAACCCACTGAG